CTTTCCTGCTGTCTTAATTTACCAACACCCTTTGTTGGATCTTGGTTAGAATGCAGTTTGGAACCATAAGCCGGCTTTCGGTTCATCCCTCATCGCCAGTCCAGCTTACCAAAAATGGCCCACTTGGAGTTCTTGATTCTGTGGTGCAGCTCAACAAAGCAGTCACGTCATCCTTCTGATTTAAAGTTTTAAAATAGGTCAGGGTGTTGCCCCATGAAGCCTCAAATCATTGGCTTTTATCCGATAAAATTCGCACCCGATCTCTAGCTATTCTGAGGGAAGCTTCGAAGGGAACTAGCTACTAGATGGTTCAATTAGTCTTTCGCCCCTATACCCATGTCAGATGAATGATTTGCTCATCAGTATCACAACGGTCCTCCACTAGACTATGCTTTGGCTTCTCCCCGCTCAGGCATAGTTCACCATCTTTCGGGTCCCAGCATGTATGCTCACACTCGAACCCTTCACAGAAGATCAAGGTCGGTCGGCGGTGCACCCCTCAAGAGGATCCCACCAATTAGATTCCTTATGCCTTACGAATTTACTAGCCCGTTAACTCGGACACATGTCAAACTCCTTGGTCCGTGTTTAAAGATGGGTCGAATGGGGAGCCCACAGCCAGTGTCCGGAGCACACAGATGTCGAAGCACGCCAGAAGCGCACGCTTCATACCAAAATCAATGAGACAGCATTCCACAGGCATATCAAGAGCCCAGGCATTGATCCACTCTGGTCCACGCCCCGAGTCGATCGACGAACCAGCTCGTCACCGTTCCACATCTGACCAGGGTGCATCCTCAACTTCCATCTGCTTCCCTCCCAATAATTTCAAGCACTCTTTGACTCTATTTTCAAAGTCCTTTTAATCTTTCCCTTGTGGTACTTGTTCGTTATCGGTCTCTCTCCTGTATTTAGCCTAGGATGAAATTCACCGCCTGATTTGGGTTGCATTCCCAAACAGCCCGACTCGTAGATAGCGCCTCGTCTTTTGCCAGGGTCCAGGAACAACGGGGCTGTCACCCTCTCTGGCGTCCCCTTCCAGGGGACATGGGCCCGATCCTCCGCTGAGGACTCTTCTCCAGAATACAATTCGGACGATGGAGCCGCCCGATTCTAAGGTTGGGTTGTTCCCGATTAGCTCCCCGTTACTAAGGGAATCCTTGTAAGTTTCTTTTCCTCCCCTTATTGATATGCTTAAACTCAGCAGGTAATCTCGCCTGACATGGGGTCACGGTTAGAGCGTTTTAGTCGTCGATTGGAGGGTCTCGGAATCAGGACACACGACAGGTTGTAGCCGCGACAAAAAGAGAGAGTTGAGTTTCAATCACCACTTGCCGCAAATTCCGTCGACGTGGACTCGTATTTAGGCCAGCCGCGTGCTCGAGGAGCACGGGAGGCCAACTTTTGCCACGTTCTATGCCTTGCAGCGTGTGGGGGGTGACCCGATGTTTGACGCCCAGGCAGAAGTGCACTTGGCCTAATGGCTTCGGGTGCAACATGTATTCTAAGAGTCGATGGTTCACGTGATTTTACAATTCACACCAAGTATCGCATTTCGCTACGTTCGTCATTAATATGAGAGCTAAGATATTTGTTACCGAGAGTTGTTTGTGTTTAAAGAGCAACACACGTCCCCGCGCACGAAAATGTCTAAAGCATAAAATAAAGACATAAAGGACATATGGTCAAGCCCTCGAATACTATGAGGACTCACCAATCTTCTTCTTCTTGATCTACTATAGTCCTAGCCACGAGGATGGAATCCAATATCTCCAAACCCTACACTTATAGAAAATGTAGAAATATGGGGTTAACAGAAAAAGTACCAAGTATGGAAGCCATGCATAAAAATCCTTAAAACATGCATAAAATAGACATTTTATTTGAAACCATGTTATATGCCACTTTTGAACATCATCTTTGAAATAGTTGGAGAATGTAGCTCATAAGACAAATCATGCACAATTCATCATAGCATAAAGGATATCATCTGTAACACCCCGTATTTTACGTGTACAAGTCCTACACATATGGAACTTGATTTAGCTAGGTGGTATAGGTAATGAACTTGATTCCTAGATGAATGGTGACAATAAAGAAGCTATAAGGGTAACTCCCGTACATTGCAATATTGCACGATAGAGTGAACGTCAAATTTTAGAAATATTTAAATTCTGGATCAAAGGGCTATATGTAAGTTTAAAAGTTAAGGTGATCAAGTGTATATAAGTTTTGAGTTAAACTAAGGAGATTACCCTTGAAAAACGAATAAAAGAATTGAGGTGCTTGTTGGACTTTATAAAGCTAGCAGGTGTAACCTACTTGCTTAGCTCAAATGGGCTAGGTAGATGGGGAAGATTAGTTCATGCATTAGTGGGCTCACTTGAGGCCCAAATTAAATAAAAAGGATAATGGAATGAAAATGAGGCCTCACACCAATATGTTCAAGTCCAACTACTTGAGCCCAATAAAGACTAAGGCCCAAATTAAGGGTATAATT